TGCTTATTGTTGCGAAATCTAGTCAGAGTTTGTTTGGGTTTTTTTTTACCTTTCTGTGTTTATGGTTACATTACAGTTAATCTCTGGAATAATCAAATGAAGGCTTGTCAACATAACAAATTAGTTTACATGTTTTGTTTAAGTGCATAATTATAAAAACGATTTAGTGAAGTGCAAGTCTGATTATTTTTATTTTTTAAAAAATAATATGAATAATAATTACAGTTTCATAGACTACATCTTTTTTAACATCTCTGTGGGGAAAAAAAAATCTACCAAAAAGGTATTTTATATATGATAGGAAACCCCTAAAGTATAACTAAATAGGTGGGCAGTGGGGGGATAGGTGGGGTGAGGTTACAAACTTCTGAGTGGTTGCCTGAAGCTGTATAGTGTATTTATAGTCATGTCCTAATGTCTTTTACCAGCAGGTACAAAGGAATAGGTTTGTATATATATATATATATATTTGAGAAGATGTGAGTCAGAAAAATTTCTGGTGTCTATTTTCTGTAATAGGAAGAGAAATAAAATCATAAGACAAGTGTCTTTGGGTGTGTTTTTTATGTGGAACAGGTTACATCTGTTTTTCATTTGCACAAAAAAGAAGACATCTTAAAAATTAGCTACAAAAGTAATGGATTTTTTTTTTCCCCCATCACATGTTTTTTGACAGCATGAATCATAACATGAGGTCACAGTTTACATAGTAACCTACTTGCCTCTTAATAAACAAGACAAATCTACTTTTTACTGTTATTGGTGGTAAATTACCCACTTCTGCTAAGATGTGTATATCTAGGCATGTTCTTAAGTTGAAATGCTGTTTTTATTCAATCCAGGAAAGGTTGTTCTCTTTGCATTTAATGGCTGAGTGAGTCTACAGTTCCTGTGTATAACTGAGCCTGTATTTAACTGTTTTGTGTCCTGTACAAAGAAGTTGGTATGCCTTGTGGCTAAATGAAAGAAGCATACTATTCCAAGTGTTTATAGAAATCTTAATTTCTTCTTAATATTTTTTAAGACAAAAGAAAAAAAAAGGAAGAAAGCTTTTGAAGTAACCTGTAATTGAAATGCCAGAACTTTCTGGCAGAACTAAGGAACTGAGTATACATAATTACTGTGTGATGAGCCAGCATCTGCAGACAATGACTAAACAGTAGAATCAAGCATCTCTTAGTGTCAATTTTCATTTGTATGCCCTGGTCACCTCTGGGCTTCTATGGGGAAAAACATTCATGCACTCAAGTTACGAGGAACCTATATTGCCATTTAGATGAGTTCCTGATCAGTGTAGTCAGAATTAAGAGGACTGTAGGAAGCATCAGGGGAACATACTTGCTTCAGACAAGTAAATCTGTCTAAGTTTTACCTGTCTTTGGGATAATACCTTATTTTAGCTGTGGGTTGTTTTTTTTTTACACTTAGTCTAAAAGTACATAAGAGCAAAATAGTTTAGTCTCCAAGTGATTGCAGGACACCTAATATAATAGAATCCCAGTGTTCACTGGAGTCCTTCTAGCCCTACTGTCATAGAAATTGCACTTTTACATAGATGTAAACTTGACTCAAACTTACATTACAAATTTAAAAGCTGTATTGCTGTATTCCTACTTTAAGCATTATTGTTTATGTATTTTCTTCTAACGTGGAGAAAAATATTAGAATCTGTATTTTGGTTTTATTTCAAATTCAGCTTTTAAATTCTGCAGAATCATGGTTTTAATAATGCTTTTAAACTGTCTTTAAAAGTGTCCTAGAGACCTAAAGTTTCAGAAGGGAAGCCTGAAACTAAAAGATTGCGAAGTAATATAGAGCTGACCAACATGATTTGGCTTGCAACTATATGTGGAAATGTTGATTTTATTGATTGCAAAGGTCATAAAATTGCGTTCTTAGGAAAGAGAGAAATAACTTTTGTCAGCTTGTCAAATCTTAGACTATTCTGTTTTCTGTCTCATCCAACTCACTTTTAATGTCAAAAATAGTTCCACTGAAAATGTGTATTTGTGTAATTTGCATAAAGCTACCCTAACAAAAAAGAAAATGCAAACCAGCTTTGTTTAAACTTGGCAAAAATTATGTAGGTATCTTTTTTTGCTACAAAAAGTGACATGAATGTTATAAGTCTTAGTTTTACTCAATTCAGGACAGTGGTAAACTGTATCTTTGGTAAAGCTGTGGTTTGTGCATGAAGCAAGCAGAGCCTGTTGTGAAAAATAACTATATTGATGGTTGGCTATCTTAGCCAACTTTGCTCGTTGTAAAGGTATTTAGCAATGCCTTCCCACAGCATGCATTTCAAAAAAAAAAGATTGCTTCACTCTGTTCCATAAGGTAGTCTTATGTCTGCCTGTTGTAGGAGAATTAATTATTTTTCATAGGATAGTGCACTTCACCTGGAAGCAGTTGTGCTTGAATCATTAGTCCTCATTTATTAGCTGAGTGGTTCCCGTTTCTGTTGTAATGTGGCATGTTTTTTTCCTCTTTGGGCCTCTTAGAGGTTTAACTAATACTTATAACATAGTGGCAGAAAGGTCATTAAAACTGATTTTGTCTGTACTTTGGAGGGACAGGCTTTTATAGCTCACCTTCATTCAGCTTCATTGCCATTAAGGGGAGGAATGAATCACTCCTTTGATTTCAAACTTTATTTTTAATATCTCTTTTATTAAAAAGGTTTTTATCTTGTTTGTAAGACCCTGGGGAGGAAGGAAAAATTGTAAGAGAATTAATGCTGCATTTTAGAATGGGTGATTTTCTTAACTCTTCGGTACTGTACACAATCTTCTGTTGTGTGTTTCTGTTGCATTTGATTGCAAAGCACGGCTGTTTGGCCTGTATAATGAGACTATTTGTGTGATACAGCAGGAAAATAAAGAGAAGTGAATTAAATGTTGTACAGCAATAATTTACATAGTGTTTCATATCTTCTATGTAATTCATTCAAACACCACAATCAAGACAAGTCTATTTTCATAATTTTTCCTTCTAGGATGAACTGGGGTTCATCTGTTAAGTGCTAATTTTCAGTAATTTGCTCTGCTGTGTTTAGTTTGATTTCCAAAGACCGATATATTCAACCTATCTTCATTCCCTGGTATTGTCTGAAACCTACTTTATGATAGCAAATTTGAAAGAGAATTCCATGAGGATATTTGGCTGGAAAACATATGTTTGTGTGATGGTGTAGTGTCCACTCAGCAAGAAATTCATGCAAAGGGGAGTCTTCTCATTTATCTAGAGAGAAAGACTCTCTAGAGCCTACAGTGGATTAAAGAAGATGCAACACTGGGAAGCTGAGCTCAAAACATTTGCAGAACAGATTATTTTTTTGTATTTGAATAAATACATAAGCTAGTGGCTTTCTACCATATTTTTTGTATCAAAGAAAACTTTATGTCAGCGAAGCTTACTCACTTGCATATGTAAATGTAAGAAAAGCAGGTTGATTTTGTTGTAGTTGTTCAGACAAGCAGGCTTCCGCTCTGCTTATGTTTCACAACTACTGTTTACTAACATTCATTTAAATTTGTACATTACAGTAAAATCTAGCAGGTTTAATGCTTTTTTAAAATCGTGTTCAATGATTAATCTGATTTTCTATCTTGTTTTCTTTCTGTCAGTTTTGGAGTACAGTCCTTACAATTGTGCGCAGTTGGTACGAGAGTTTTTAGCTAATCAAAGGTGGATAAATTAAGATAGAGGTCTAGTATAGTGGTATAGAGGAGATGGTTGCAGATGTCCTCTATAGCCCATTCAAGTCATTCAACACACATTTTTAGTGCTATATTACCTGCATTCCAATACAACTGCCAGTGCTCGAATATTACACATTCTTGAATTGATTAGTATTTATTAAATTACAGAAATAATAGTTGTATAAAATATATAATTTCTGAAATGATCCACCAATTCACTTTCCTTTAACCGTCTCCATTCTTTAAACAGAATTGACAAGCCAGTAGATGAAAATTTGCAAAATATCACTGACCCACAAGTGAAGTTTAAGATTCTGATCTAGAGTTTACTGAGGCCAAAGGAAATACTCCTCTGGGTATGGGCTTCTAGTTGGATTAAGTGATCATATGCATTTTATCTATATGATGAAATAGGCTTAACTTTTGAAAGGATCAAGAATTATGTTGCCTTATGTAAAAAACTCAAGAATTCTAGCACATGAATCTGTTTTGCTTGAAGAAAGTTACAAATATTTTATTTAAGGCCTGGTTTTTTCTCTTTCCATTGTATTATTAAGGCAGCCAATGAACATATATTTAACAAACTGTAAAATTCTCAATTGGATGAAGTAAAAACCTAAGATTGTTTTTTTCATAGTGTTGTATTGGATAATATGTCAAGAGTAAAATTTGGGGAAGGGCTTTTGCATTTTAATAGTTGTATGTATATCAAGAAACTCCATAGGAAAACAAATTTTCATTACGTTATCTTTGTTACTGTGGAAATTAGGATTGGAGATATTTTTTGTGTAACCTACATGTAGGAAGTGTCTGGGGTTTTGGTCTAAAGTATGCTTTATTGATTTGCAGAAATTGGTTTTATGTTAGGTCTGGGTTAAATTTTTTTTTTTTCTTTAATAGTGAGTAATCTCTTCAGAAATACAGTGTAGTTAGGATACTCAAAAATGAGAATTTATAAGTTTATGACCATATATAAATGTCTTTTTATATACAAAGATGCAGCAAAGATGCAGTGGTTGAAAGAATTCTGTTTCATTGTTTGCATTCCTTGAGAGGTAGTGTCCATATATAAACACACAATTCAGCTTGTAGCTGTGCCAGTAATTTTTCCAAGTCTGTACCTCCAAATATTGAAAAAAAAAAAAATTGAAATTGCTAGTCATTGTCAACTTGAGTCTTATTTTTTTTACTGGTACATAATAGTTATTTAAAGTAAGCAAATATTTCTCTTCTAGCTATTGCATCAGTAAATGACCCAGGAAATTACACTTCACTTTCTGATTTGTCTTCCTATTACAGGCGAGCTCAAATCTCTTGCTTCCTGCGCCATCATCACTGTCACCACACTCCAAGCTAAGACTGCCAGGAACTCTCAGCACTCCACTGAATCCTCTGTATTCTTTCACTACTGAAAGTGGTAGGTTTCTTTATTTCTTCACTCTTTGTAGGGAATGGGTAATAACTTTACGAGGATGTTTTTTCTGCCTTTTTAAATTTTGTTGTGCAGCTCTTTCAGGAAGTGTCCTGGTTTTGTTATATGTGATATTGTTTATAAAGTGCAGTGTGATACAGTCCAATACTGATGCGTGTTCCCTTGTAATGCTTTTTTTTTCCTTAAACCGTACACTTATTTCATTGTGATATCAGCTCCTAAAAGACTATGAGACTACCAGAGTGTCTTCATTTAATATTTTAGTAATATTTTAATGCTTACTAAATGATCTTAAATATGGACACTCAAAAATAATAGAATTTAAAAGCATATATACTTATATAAGAACCATAGCTCTTGGTAGTTCATTTGCAGTTGTATTTAATTACTTTTAGGGGATTTTTCTTCTAAAGACATTTTTGTATTGAAAGAATTTGAGAAAAAGGCAAGTAGTGCAAATATGCACATTTGTGATGCTTACTTTGCTAATAATATCTGTTTCATTGCTAGTCACAGTATTTAATAATAAAATTTATGATTTCATGTCTTTCTCTTTTTTTTGGGCACTTGTAAAATAAGACAGAAAATTGGTACCTTAATTTTGAAGTGTTTTTGTTTTGTATCCTTGAGAAGGGTAAAAAGAATTCCAGGGGGAGGGTGGAATATATAATGAACTAAAAACAAGTAATAGAGATTTAAAATTTAGATAGTAAAGATAGGAATAATCTCTATAATTATATAGAATTATATCCTAAAGGCAGGCAATTTTTTTTGCAAATCAAGTTATGATTACTTTTTCTGAGCAGCCAGAGAAAGGGTCCTTAGCATGGTCTAAGAGACTGACCACTAGTCTCAAAATTACTCTTAGTCACTATTTCACAATGCAAATGGCCGTACACCAATTAACTTCTGTGTTTCCATTTTCTACCTTAACAAAAGAGCTTAGAGCCTAATACTATTCATCTTTTGCTCAACAGATGCATGTTATTTCCAGAGTGTGTAAATCTTACAGAAACTGTAGAATATGTATTCTGTCTTACATACTGTGAATATTTAAAATAGGTGGACTAACCCTTCAAAGAACATTAACACATACTTCAAGTTGTTCTAAATGGCTATTCCTAATATTGCTCAAACTGAGTAATTCTGTTTTCTTGAATTTTACTTTATGCAGAAGCACAGCTAAATGTGTTGATGGAGACTTCCTAAATAGCATGAGCAAATATAGATGTTTTATATGTTATAGCTGTTCACATATGCTCCCACTGTAGTTGTGTCCAAAACTGACTAATACTTCAAGATGATCCACTGGTACAGAATAATATTTACACAAGGAAAGTATAGTAAAAAGAAAGTAAAAAAGGAAATATAGTAAAGAAGAAGCCACGAGAACATCAAGATTTTTAAGCTAAGACAACCATAAAAATACTAGTGGGTCAAAATTGAAATAGACTTTTCTGTAAGAAAATATTTTAAAATTGTAAATTACTTCTTGTCATTTTGGGGGCCTCCAAGTTGTTCTACTGTGGTAGAGTTGTTTTCAAACATGTGAGGAAGATTTACTCATCTCTTTCATCTTTCCCCATTGGTTATAAACTATAAGGTAAGTGCTTGTGTTCATAGCTCCTAACTGCCAGTTAAATTTTGCTTTTGAATAATAGAAAATCTGGACTTAAACAGATTTATTAATTAGGGATTGTGCTGGAAGGACAGAACTTTTCTTTCCTGTATTGATTTTATATACACAATATATATACTTTTTATACTTACTGGGATATTGCATTTTTTAACAGTTGCCTGTACTAGAGATCCTTCATTTTTGTCCAGCAGATGGTTACATATTCCCGAGGGTTATGTTGACGGTTCAGTCCTGTCACCTTTTGCTGTATATTTAGTGCTTTTTAAAGCAAAATGCAGAATTCCCCTTTGTATGTGTAAGCCTCTCTTAGCAATGTTTCTCACTGTGTAACTGGTGTGAGTGCTTTAGTAATTTGGTAAGGTGGTAGCTGATGTCTTATAATATGGACAGTGCAGCCTCAATATATGCAACCCTTTCTTTTTAAGACAGTTTAATTGTCTAGGTCTTGTGTTAGGTAGAAAACAGTGGGGAAACGGTGAAGCCATCTTTGTGATTTATGGACACTAGCAGTAATACAGAAGATCTTCCCTGACTTTTAAATCTTTTTGTGTCCAGATACATTTGCAGAATTAGCTGTATGTGCAATATTCACTACTATTTCTTTTAAATGTCTCTTCGTTTTGACAAATAGGTTCTGTAAACTCTCAAGCATACGGTGTGTTTTGGCTTTTCTTCAGGTGCATACTTTCACTGGTTTATAGGCTTTTATGAAGACCCAGTCCTTGTTCTGCTGTTTACCTTCCCCATTTTCTTCAAGATCACTTATCTCAAGGATGCTGAGACAGAGGACCGCCTTTGTTTCCAACTAAATTGAATAATTTAGTTATTTAGTCAATTTATTTATTTAGTTAATTGCTCTAAATTGAATAATTCATTGTTTAATCATCTAATAGAGAGCTTCAGCATCTTTCTCAAGGACAGAATATTTTTTATGTGAGATGAGTTGAGACAAGATCATTGACCATGTAGCCTAACCCTCCTGATCAAAGCAGATTCACCTAGAATTCAGGACTATGTCCATTTGGGTTTGTAATAGTTCTAAGGAAGAAAACTCCAAAACATCTCTGGAGATCCTATTACAATGTTTGACTGTTCTCACAGTAAAGGGTTTTTTATTATCTTTAAATGATATTTTGTGTATTTCAGTCTGCATTGGTGCATGGGATTATTCCTCCCCTAGTGCAGTACTTTGCATTTCCCCTTGTTCAACTTCAAGAGGTTGTTGTTGGCCCATTTGTGCAGCCCGTCAAGGTGCCTCTGAATGGGAGTGTGTCCTTCTGCCGTATCAGCCCCTCCTCCCAATTTTTCATCATATGCAAATTTGCTGAGTGTGTACTCAGTCCCATCATACAGGTCATTAATGGAGAAGTTAAAGTGTGGACATCGGTATCAACCGCTGGAGTGCACCACTGGAGACTGGTCTCCAGTTACATTTCACGAGAGTGATTACAAACTTCTGATCTCTTCAGCTCAGCCAGCTTTCAGTCTGCTGCACTGTCTGTTTACACAGTCCATACTTGAGATGTTTGTGGGAGTGTTGTGGGGGACAGTGTTGAAAGTCTTGCTAAATTCAAGGTTAACAACATCTGCTGCTTTCCCATTGATGCTAGAGAGTGCTGTGCAAGAGGTAAGGTTTTGTCAAGAGTATGGCTAGAATTTCTAGAAAAAAAGTAATGAATTTTGTCAAATAGTAGTGAGTAAAGTAGGAACCACAAAGCAAATACAAGACATGGATGAACTTATTTATATGTGTTATGTTTAAACATTTCATTAGAGAGATTTCATAAGCTTTAACAAAATAAATTTAAATTTAAGAAAATGTATGTTTTGTTGCTTCCTCTCAGAAATATTATGTTAAATTTGAGAGGAAGGCATGGAACTTAGGTTTTCTTACTGTCCATTGTGATAGGCTGTCAGATGAAATTTGTCATTGAGACTTTGACTCATTTTACCATATCAGGGTAAGTTTTATGTCTGCCTCAGTAAAGCTGCAACTGTGCTGATAGCTATTTCAATAATTTGAAAAGTTTACTAGATGTTTGTCTTTGGAGAAGGTCAGTTTTATATTTGTAATTTAGCTTCACAAAGTCTTATGGCTGGTCCTGTTTTTCATTCTACTTAAATTTCTCTTGTTTTATGTGTAGCAGAATTACTTTATTCTTTCTTGATTATTGTTTAGCACTCTTTAAGGAGTCTATCCCTGAAGGTATGTAAAATTTAAGCTTGCTGAACTTCTTTTCTTCTTTCTTTCATTTTCTTTTTTTTTTCTTGGTCATAAAATTTAAGACCTGTCTTTGATAGTCAGAATTGAGCTTTTGCCTTCCTTTTGCTGCATGGTTCTATCATATCCATCCTGTAGTGTTATTCTGCAACACTGCACTATAGCATTATGCAGGGCTTTGTCTTAGATATTCCTATCTTTTCCTCGTACCTTCTTCCAGGATAACACATTTCCTAGTTGTTATTTTTCAGATAAATAAGGGAGTAGCAAAAGCTCCAGATTTCAATTACCCATTCTCTGACAGACATCAAAATCCCATATGGTCTTGTTTGCCTTTCCTCCTTAAGACTGTGAGCATCTTTGCACAGTGAAATCACTTTCCTATGAGGCAGTTTTGCAGGTCCATGGCATGCCATGAAAGAAATGGCCAGTGTTTTTAGGCTTTATTCAACAGTGACTCTTCAGTAACTCCCACTATATTCAAGACATGCTTCCTAAAACAAGTTTGAGATCTCAAGTTAGCAGTGACCCTAATTGTTAGTTATGTGGGAGCTTGAAGCTCGACTATAAATACTGCACAGATCTTTTCACTAAAATTTTGACTTCAATACAACCAGTTAATTAAACTTGCTCTTAAAAATTAATTACGTTATGCGCTAATAACGTGATGGTTCTTGTATCTTTAAAGAAAATCTCAAAAACAAAAACACAACACTTTGGCAGGGTTGAGAACAATTAGAAGGTTTCTCTCCATTAACACAACTGACAGTCAAAGGTGTTTTCCACCTACATAAAGTGAAAGCTTCAAAGCACTCTTTCTCACTCTCTGAAGATATTAGCAAAACTGACTTTGCATTTAAGTCCTCCGTTATATTTGATAGACTATTTAAAACTTCTTTTTTCAGTCTCAAAGAGTGAAAAATAGATTTCTACATCAAAGATATAAAGAATATTTATGCATCAATTAAATGTTCTTAAAATACTGTTTTTATTCTCGGAGGGGTGTTAGAATCAGAAAAGGGTACATCAAGTAGCAAAATTCACATTTTTGCAGAGATACTGCAGAAACACTATCAAAAGTTGCATTCTCATGCTTCTGTTACTGGCATCCAGTCCATGCAGGCA